TCTTGGACTGTATTCCTGTCGTCTGAATAAACCTTCTGCTTTACTGGATGGCTGAGAGTCATGGTGAATCGCAGGAAGCCGGGGGTGCAGGGCCCTGAGTCCCCCACACTCCGTGACAGGGGGCAGGGCCCTCTGGCTGCCCCAGGACTCCGCCCGGGCGGACTCACTGTGGGAAGCGCACGGAGGGGCAGATGCTGAATGCTTCGAGGTCAGACCCAGGAGGTGAAGCCGTGTGAGTTTCTTGCCCTGGAGACAGTCTTCTCCGAGGGAGAGGAGGCTCCCCAGAGTCCTGCCTGGCTTCGTAGGGAGCAGTTCCAGAGCATCGCCCGGGGACTGTGTGACACCAGTTACCGGGACATTTCGTACCTAGCACCGAGCCACTATGAACGGCCCCCGCCTGCAGGGAGCCGGCCAGGTGGGCCCAGCCGGAGAGCCAAGAACGGAGGCAGAGCCAGGTGGGAACGAGACCGAAGGGCCCAGCGGGAGCCGGGGGCACTGCCTGGCCGGCTCTGGGTAACCCGGATGGGCTGAGCTGAACCTGTCTGTTCTCCACGCTCACCAGGGCCTGTGCCGGGGGCCGGGTGACGAATAAACCCGGCTGTTCTGACAGCGCCGTGTGAGCGTCACTGCAAACGCCGGGCGAGTCCCCCCCCGGGACCGGAGCTCATGGAGGGCAGCAGGGGGGGCTGCAGGCCCCGAGCTCCAGCCTAAGGAGGTGGTGAAGCCGCGTGGCCAATCCTGGAGGAAGGGGGAGACCCCTCGTGGTCTGGCCCACTGATGGGTTCCTTATAGAGACCGTGAGAGCTGTCCCCTCCCGGTGCCACCCCTGGAGCCACCCCCAGAGCCGTCCCCCCCGGTGCCACCCCCAGAGCCGTCCCCCCCCGGTGCCATGCCAGGGTGGCACTTTCATGCTCTCATGCGACACTCTGAGATACCGATTCCCCACCCCTCTGTGACGCCCGGGGCGTTATGGGCCATCTCAGGCCCTGGCTCGCAGGGGATGATCTTGCCCAGGTCCTGGGAGGGCCGTGGGGACGGTGACAGCTGCCCCTCCCCCCCCCCCCTGAACACCTGGGTCCGTTTCAGAGCAGGGCCTCAGCAGCGGTGGTTTCCTGCCCTGGCCCCGGGACACGAGGATGGTGCTGATAAAGGGGGTGGGGGAACAGATGTTGTGTGGCATCCTGTGGTGGTGGCCTATTTCACCCCATGGGCACGTCACCAGCACCGCGGTTCCTCGCAGCTCCGGCCCTGACTGTGCGTCCGTCGCTCAGTGTCTCTCTCTCTCTGTCTGCTGCCCGCCCACCCGCCCGCCCCTTCCCCTGGGCCCCGCCCCTCAGGGGGAAAACCAGTCTCAGCGAGCCCCCCCCCTTCCTGTAGGTCCTACAGATAAACAGCCTGCTTGATTTGCTCTCTCAGCCGGGGAGGCGGGTGCTTACTTTGGTAACAGCAGCAGTGCAGGGGCTGACGCTGCCTCACTGCACCCCCCTCCCACTGCCGCATTCATTGCTGGTGGGCGCAGGGAGCTGCGGGATCCCCGGGTACCAGTGCCGCTGCAGTGCATTGTGGGAGATTCCCAAGCACTGCAGGAGCGGGAGGTGGGAGGCAGAGCTGGACCAAGCGGGAGGCGACGGCTTCGGTCAGACGGGTGGGCATGAGGCGTGTTACACACGTGTCACTGAATGCAGGGCTTCTGCAAAGGCATCATGGAACACAGAGAGAGTAGCTGTCTGTCTGTCCATCCCCTACATCTCATCTCATCTATCTATCTATCCATCTATCCCCATACACCCCCTCTATCTATCTATCTATCTATCTATCCCCATCCACCCCCTCTATCTATCTATCTATCTATCTATCTATCTATCTATCCCCATCCACCCCATCTATCTATCTATCTATCTATCTATCTATCCCCATCCACCCCATCTATCTATCTATCTTATCTATCCTGTGACAGGTTGGGTCACAGAAACCCCCTTGGGACTGACACCCAGCTGCCAATGGGATCCAAACCCCAAACAAATCCGTTTTACTATGTATAAAGCTTATACAGGGTAAACTCATAAATTGTCCGCCCTCTATAACACTGATAGAGAGATATGCACAGCTGTTTGCTCCCCTAGGTATTAATACTTATTCTGGGTTAATTAATAAGTAAAAAGTGATTTTATGAAGTATAAAAAGTAGGATTTAAGTGGTTCCAAGTAATAACAGACAGAACAAAGTAAATTACCAAGCAAAATAAAACAAAAACATGCAAGTCTAAGCCTAATACGGTAGGAAACTGAATATAGGTAAATCTCACCCTCAGAGATGTTGCAATCAGCTTCTTTCACAGACTAGACTCCTTCCTAGTCCGGGCCCAATCCTTTCCCCGGTACAGCCCTTGTTCCAGCTCAGGTGGTAGCTAGGGGATTTCTCATGACTGGAACCTTCTTTATTCTGTTCCACCCCCTTATATGGCTTTGGCACTGGGCGGGAATCTTTTGTCCCTCTGGGTCCCCACCCCTCCTTCTAAATGGAAAAGTACCAGGTTTAAGATGGATTCCAGTACCAGGTGACAGGATCACATGTCCTGTGAGACCTCAAGCCTTCATTCTTCCCGGCCTGACTCACAGGAAGGTTTGCAAGTAAACAGAGCCATTTACAACCAATTGTCCTAGTCAATGGGAGCCATCAAGATTCCAAGCCACCATCAATGGCCCACACTTTGCATAATTACAATAGGACTTCACAGGATATATTTCTTCAGATACAAGAGTGATACACTTATACAAATAGGATGACCACACTCAGTAGATTATAAACTTTGTAATGATACCTTACAAGAGACCTTTTGGATGAAGCATATTCCAGTTACATTATATTCACTCATTAACATATTTTAATAAAATCATATAGAGTGCAATGTCACACCCTCCTCCTGAACTTACTGCCAGAGACTTGGACGCTGTCCATGGCGGAAGCAGTATACCTAAAATTCATCTTTGGGCTTCCCTCTGGGGCAGACACTCCTGTGTCCCCCAAAAAGGAAGGAGACCCTGATCCAGCTGTGGGCTCACAGCTACCAGCTATGACAGACCCTTCACTGGCCAGCAAAATCCCCCCATTTCACTCAGGTTGGGCTTGCTTCCAGCTACAGAGTCCTTGGGGTCTGTTCCCACCGCAGCAGTCACCAGGACCCCAACTTCCAGCTCCAGGATACATGTCTCTGTGCATCTCTTCCACTCCATTACAGCCAGGTCATGCTTCTGGGCTTTTGTGCTTGTCTCTGGGCTTAAATTTCTTTGTCTTTTAAATCCAGGGTTTGCTGGTGGGCAGTGTCTCAAAGCAATCAGCTCTGGACAGATCCTGCCGACTATGCCACTGTGATGGGTTGGGTCACAGAAACCCCCTTGGGAACTGCCAGCTGATGTGCTGAGACTACCTCTGAGCCCGTTTTCCCTGACAGCTTGGGACTTCAGTACCCTGCCTTGCTGAGCCAGACATGCTAACCTGCTGTAAACACAGACCCAGGTCTGAACCACGTCCCCCCAAAGCTGCAGACTTAACTGAAAACAGCTTCAGAAGTGCTCCAGTCTCTAGCACCTGGACACCCATCTCCCAATGGGATCCAAACCCCAAATAAATCCGTTTTATTCTGTATAAAGCTTATACAGGGTAAACTCATAAATTGTCTGCCCTCCATATCACTGATAGAGAGCTATGCACAGCTGTTTGCTCCCCCAGGAATTAATTACTTACTCCGGGTTAATTAATAAGCAAAAGTGATTTTATTAAATATAAAAAGTAGGATTTAAGTGGTTCCAAGTAATAACAGACAGACCAAAGTAAGTTACCAAGAAAAATAAAACAAAAACATGCAAGTCTAAGCCCAATATAGTAGGAAACTGAATACAGATAAAATCTCACCCTCAGAGATGTTGCAATCAGCTTCTTTCACAGACTAGACTCCTTCCTAGTCTGGGCCCAATCCTTTCCCCTGGTACAGTCCTTGTTCCAGCTCAGGTGGTAGTTAGGGGATTTCTCATGACTGCTGCCCCCTTTGTCCTGCTCCACCCCCTTTTATAGCTTTGGCACAAGGCAGGAATCTTTTGTCCCTCTGGGTCCCCACCCCTCTTTCTAAGTGGAAAAGCCCCAGGTTTAAGATGGATTCCAGTACCAGGTGACATGATCACATGTCCTGTGAGACCCCCCCAAGCCTTCACTCTTCCAAGCCTGACTCACAGGAGGGCTTGCAAGTAAACAGAGCCATTTACAACCAATTGTCTTAGTTGCTGGGAGCCATCAGTAGATTATAAGCTTTGTAATGATACCTTCCAAGAGACCTTTTGCATGAAGCATATTCCAGTTACATTATATTCACACTCATCAGCATACTTTCATAAAATCATATAGAGTGCAAAGTCACACCCCCCCATCTATCTATCTATCTATCTATCTATCTATCTATCTATCTATCTATCCCCACACTCCCCCTTTCCCCCCCTTGCACACTATCCATCCCTCTCTGCTCTGGCTAGCGGGTGTTTCGCTGGAGGATAACAGCCATTCTACTGCTGCTGGACGGTGTCATTCCCTGGGGATGCCTGGCAGAGAGCTCTCCACCAGGGAGGTGAGTTCGAATCCTGATGCCGACAGTGCGTCGCTCCCTGACACCTGCCCGGTGACGCTCTCTGGGCCGTGATCCCAGCCCAGCCGCCGGCCCAGGGCAAAGACCACGACGGAGACGCCGGCATTGGAAAGCACCAGGACGAGGCCGACGATGACGAGGTGAACGGTGTCGATGCGCCGGGGGTCGGTTCTCTCTGCATCCCCTGCGCCAGGTGTGACCATTTCTGGGTGCCGCGTGCTGTCCGTGGGGCTGGGAGCTTCCCACTCTGAGAAGGGAGCAGGGGACAGCAGGTGAGTCCGGGCTCCCCTGGCAAACTCCGTCCCCCCAAACCCATCCACTCCCCTGCTCGAAGGGTGCAGTGACCCCTTTGCCCCAGCCGTCCAGATATGGAGGGTCCCTGCTCCCCTTTACGGCCCCCAAGTTATGTGAGACCCTGCTTTCCCCCACTGTCCCCTGGATATGAGGGGGACCCTGCTTCCCCCACTGCCCCATGGATATGGGGGGGACCCTGCTTCCCCCCATTGCCCCCCCAGATATGGGAACCCCCCTTACCCCTAATTGTGGGGGATCTGTGCCTTGTAGCATATCTCTCTCTCTCTCTGTCTATCCCCCTGCTTCCTCCACTGCCCCATGGATGTGGGGGGGACCCTTCTTCCCCCAACTGCCTCCCCAGATATGGGGGGACCCTCCTTTGCCCCTAGATCTGGGGGATCTGTGCCCGGTAACAGCTCTCTCTCTTTCTCTCTCTCCTTGCGGTATCCCGGCGCCCCCCATGGTTCATCCCCTCTCACCTGTCACCGTGAGGCGGGTCCCAGGGACACCGCGCCATTGCTCCCATTCGCCGTCGTTCTTCTGCACCCTGACGTGGCAGATGTACTCGCTGGCGTCCGACTCCCACAGCCGGTTGATGCGGATCGAGGCCGTTCGGCTCCCCCGCGGGTCCCTGACCAGGACGATGCGGCCCTCGTAATCCGGGCGGGTGAACCCCTCAGTGTGATTGTAGATAAACTCACCATGGTACCCCCCC